ATAAGATATATGTATATAATTTCTTTATTTCATATATGTATGTATATATACATATATAGAGAGAGACTAATATAAACAAATGAATGTATAAAACAATATTAATATTAATCGCAATAATGCCCTTAGCTATTTACACAAACTATGTAGTATAAATCTCTTTCTAATTGTTAACACAACTATGAAAATATGACTAAATTATCTACGCGACTTTAAGCAAACTCTGGTTATCATATTAAAGGGCATTACGCCTGAGTCTCTATGCAAAGGAAATGCTTGTTCACGAACGCTGTTAAATATAGAATACACACACTCAGTTATACATACATATCTATCTATACATGTGTCTATATGGTATTCAAGTCTTTCAAATTTCGCATGTCAGCAGTTGGTCACGTATGGGATCTAAGTGGCTCGCTATACTCTATAAGAAAGTAGGGTAATATAATATAAATATGGCTGGCATCTTTTTATTATATTTACTTATTAAAAACTATATAAAAACATTTTTTTTATATATATATATATATAATTTACTTGAAGTCCCTTTAGTGCAAATTGAGATTTTTATAAAATATGTTTAAAGTATAAGAAACCCTGAGATGGTTTGAGAATATCAGTAAAAATATTTGTTAACTATCATTTGCATTATATTAATAAAATATTATAGCTCTGCTGTATCTATAAACACTAAGAGATTATGTTAGGCGTGGTGCAAAGTACTTTTGCCTATAATCTAGCTATTTATTAATTATTCTTTAGTCTTTATAAATCTCAATTACTCTATAGAAACGTTAGTCAGCCAATAATACTGTTATGTTACAAGTAAACTAATAAGTTTCGCTGTTTAACATAAACAGCATCACATTGTACATAACAGTGTTGGATTGTGTTCCCAAGAGTAAACACGTTTCGTGTGGACAAACGTTTGCCAATCTCTGGCACTTATTTTTATCTAATCAATAGTTTCCTCAGTCGCTACTGACGTCGTTGTGGCCATTATACAATAAAATTATGGCAAGTGTACGAATATACATATGTATGGATGTCGTTTTTCGTGAGAGAACTATGTTGTATTACCTTTATATTTGGCTCTTCTGAGCTACCTTGGGCTGACCATATCAGCGACTTTTGACGCAGACTGTGTGCGCTTATCTAGACAGCCCAGTTGTGTGCGGACTGATTTGGTAGTTTGTGCTCTGCCAGATTTGTTAATACAACGCAGACTTGTCGCTGATATCGGTTGTATGTATATTTGGCATACACAAATAGTGCGGCGAGAACACTTGTACACTGATTAATTATTTGGTTGACTCTTGTTTCAAGCAAATCCAATTCATTACTTTGCAGCAAGCCGGACGAAACGGATACGTGGAACACACAAAAAGCTTTGCATGCAGCTGGAGTAGAAGACACAGTCGACTACACGCTGACAAACTTGCCCAAAGATGTCACAAAATCAATCATATTTCTGGCAAACGACCAGGCACAATGTATATCTGAAGCGATCCGCCAAATGGCACATGGCAATGGCCTTGATGGTGGTGCTTACATTCTCGACCATATGTGCGGCCGAATCCAATCCAGATGGCGATGATAATGCCATAATTGCCGACAATCAGCAGGTAATTGAACTTGAACGACTTTCGAAATATGTAGTTTCTAATCAATTTCTAATTTCGGCACAGAATGTGGAAGATGATCAATCGATAATTAAATTAGCTACGGAATCAAATGGAATGCTGGAAAAACAATTGGATATTGAACCGGAAAGGGAGAAGAAAATCAAGGGCAGTTTTATCGATGCGTTTACCGCATCGATCTCTGTTATATTATTAACAGAGCTAGGTGATAAGACTTTCTTTATTGCTGCCATAATGGCAATGCGCCATCCTCGTTTGATTGTCTTCCTCGGTGCTATAACCGCATTGGCTCTCATGACGGTTCTCTCATGCGTATTTGGCATGGCAGCAAACTTTATTCCTAAGGTAGATATATCTCTGCGGCCTTATCTAAACTGACATGGATGTAGCTTGCTAACTTACTTATCTTTCGACAGATTTATACGTATTATATATCTACTGCATTATTTTTAATATTTGGTCTAAAAATGTTGTATGATGGTTACAAAATGAAGCCGACTGATGCCCAAGAGGAGCTCGAGGAGGTGCAAAGTGATTTGCGCAAGCGCGAGGATGAGGTAAGTCAAGGCAGATAATCAGATTTTGTAGCATTATTTACTAAATATTACTGTAGCCGTTATTGTAGTTCGTAAATGCAAAACCACAAATTTTTATTGACTTTTTAAACACCAACGCTTTGCTAACAATTGATTTTAGTTGTACTTGTGCTTATTGTAAATAGCTACGCTTTATTGGTTGTACCTAATGATTGGCAATATATCTTTCTTTAGTATATATTTATTTTCGACTAAATAGCAATAACAATAATAACAACAAYGAGAAGAAGAAGACGAGGCGATCACTTCATTTGCTCGTTTGCCATGTACAAAGCTTTATTTATATTAGTAAACACGTTTGTAGTCGTAACTCATTTTGCCTCTATGTGTCACAAAACAAAACAAAACAAAAACATTTCGAAGATATTTAAAATAATTGAATGCAAAGCTCTTCTCTTTTGCACTGTGTAATTATAGCTAAATTGCATGCTAATTGTGCGACCCAATCATAATAATTTACTAATCATTTCTAATTTGAAAAAACCCCAATCTAACGAGTCTTAAATCAAGTTCAAGTTGACGCAAATGCAACACTCACTGGCATTGCAACAAAATGTTGGGTGTGTCATCAGGATGAAACGATTGTTTGCCATTAATCAATCTCATTCACATGCAAAGTTCAGTTGATTTTAAAGCTGAGCTTTGTTGAGCCACATACATGCAAATATATATATCCATATATATATCAATTTATTATTTTTATATGAAATATGCTCCTAAGCACACACATTCGCCTATGTGACTAATTGCACGTCGCAGTGAAAAGAAGATTGAAAATACAAAATGAACAGACAATTAACAAATTTTCAAGTTTCAAAATAAACCGCTTAACCGCAAAGACCCGAAAACAAATTTATTTTGTGATTTGTCTACAAAACTTAGCTAATGTCAAATTTAATTATTCTTTCTTTCAAAACTCCACATAAAAAATTAAATAACCATAAACCTACCTGTGTTAAAATCCCGAATTATTATCTCGAAATGAACAACAACGAACAATAAAACCAAAAACAAAAAACTCTTAGCTAATGCGCATGGCCACTCGCAAATATGAGGATTCGGATGCGAAGCGTAAGAATAGCAATTCGGACAAGGAGGATGCCAGCGAACAGCCGCTCATCCATGGACGCAAGGCGAGCCTGTTGCCCAAGTCGAGTTCGATCAACAGCTCTGAGATGCAGCATCGTCAGCGCAAGCCCACCAATACCAGCAGCAACAACAATAACAATACCACCAACGACTCAACTAGTGATAAGCAAACGAGCTGTGATAAGACTGGCAACGATGTGGACTATCACAACACCGAGGTGCTGCTCAAGGATGGAGGACGAGTTGTCGAACAACTGAAGATGACCACGTTCCATAATAGTCCCGCGCACTCGGCATCCATTGCCTCATCGAACCAGACCGAACAAACCCATTGTGATTATCCCCGTAGCAACAACAACCCCAATGCGACCGTTGGCCCCGATTCGGAACTGGAGGCGACCGAGCCACGTGCTCCACTAGCTGGACACGAAAGCCTCTATAGCGTTGACAGCGAGGAGGGCGCGCTCAAAGCACGGGTTAGAGATCGAGCAACAATGTTTTACCGCTGTTGTTTCATCTACGTTTCACCTGCTTTTTCAAAACAATCAGCAACAAAAGAAAAACCCCAAAACTAAATTATACACCAACACACACCCATACACACCTACACACATACTCATTGAGCGTTTTAATTGATTGCATATTATTTATAATTGAATAACACATGCCATGTTGCTAGAGGTTAACGGTATTTGTCATTCGTTACTTGCTTTGTTTCATTCTCGTATCATTTCATACATTGTTGCAACTAGGTTATGCCATTGCCAAAACGTTCCAGCACAGACACTCACACACACGCACAACCACAGATACAAATATATAAATGCATGTGTTGTTCCTTATTCCGTTTAGTTTCGAAGTGATCGTTTGTAATATTTTTGCTCTCTGAGATAAATATTTGTTTTTCTTTTTCTATTCAAATTTTTCTATATTTAATTGTGCAAGTTCGTTTTGACGTTATTTCCCCCTTTGTTTATCCTTTGCACACATACGTCTCATCCACCAAAAAGTGAATTGATTAACATTTTAACATTGAGCTCTACCTTTTCGACTTGCAGCTGGATCGTGATGTTAATACTGCGCTGGTGCATGACGCGGAGAGCGGACGCCGCAGCAAGGTGCAACGCCGAGGCGCCACCTATTTCACTATGCGCATCTTTGCCCAGGCCTTCACGATGACCTTTCTTGCCGAATGGGGCGATCGTTCGCAATTGACAACTATCATTCTGGCTGCCAGCAAGGTGGGTCTTCAATAGTCTTATGTTTATAATGGAATTACTGAATTCATGCAATATCAAATTTTCCATTTCCATTACTAATTAGTGCCAATTTACTATTCCAACTTCCAGTGCTCCACTTTTCCAATTTCACATGCATAAATTTCATTGTCAAGACTCATTGCTTCATTTCCAAGTGCTCCTGCTCCACTTCCAGCTTGTTCCATTTCCAGTCGTTTCAATTACATCACTAATCAACCTTCTCTCTTCTTGCAGGACGTCTATGGCGTGATTGTTGGCGGTATTCTTGGCCATTGCATTTGCACTGGTCTGGCTGTGATTGGTGGTCGCCTGGTGGCCTCCAAAATCTCGGTGCGCACTGTCACCATTGTGGGCGGCATTGTATTCATTGGCTTTGCGATTTATGCGGTGCTCATGCCGCCAGATGATCTAGTTACCAACTAATCATCGATATTAGCCTGTTGTTTGTTGAGGACTCCCCCACCTCCCGTAACAAGAGGATATATGAATTTAAACTGTAGTTTTCGAGGAGCAACAGGCACTATCTACTAGTATTTCTGTTCGTTTTGTTGTAAATTGATGCACTTTATAGCGAGAGAGCGCCGCTAGCTAACCCAAAGTGCCTTCAGTGCTTTTCGCTTTAGCCATGACAAACAAATTTAGTTGCCAAAAAAAAGAAAAAAAAATAGAAAAAAACGAAAAAAAAGTATATACATTTTTGTACTAGATCTTTAACCAATTAATAATTTCATTGATTTAAGTATTAAAGTTTTCCTTGTTGTACATACGCGTGCTTGTTAACTATGTTGCCTAAGCTCCTCTTAATTAGCTCATTTAAATTCCTAATTTATGTAGCCTCTTAATTAGCTCATTTAAATTCCTAATTTATGTAGCAATGTTTACTTAAAAAAGTTGAAAAAAAGAAAGAATTAAATATGTTTATAGATTTTACGAAATCTTGATAAAGAAAATAGTAAAAGAGCAAATTGAATGTTTTTCTAAAGCCTTATAATTTGTATGGGGGAGCGAAGATCTCTTTAACAGAGCTTTCTTGATTAAAATGTTAAACAGCTGTTCCTAACACGCTCTGCAATCGGACCTGTTACTTTCAGTTAACAGCACACTTTTTGAAGAGATATTATTTGTTAATGAAAGTTATTTGGAGACCTTAAAAGCAAAATACTTACAGGAAAGATCATAAACGGAATATAAGGTTTGTTTATATAATTTATTTTACAAATACAATTAAACGCTTTTAAGGTACTTGTGCTTATTCGAGACGAAATTTGGTTAGGGATTATAAGATAACAAGAGTCGAATACACACACATGCTTACTTTTGCACTGGCATAGTTGACACGAGCCTTAAATGGTTGGGCGTGGCATTTCACTTCATTGTCTTGGGATCACGATAGATGCCCGTGAACAAAACAGCGCTCGACTTGTGATCGTAGATCAGGAAGACGAACGGATGATTACACTCGAATTTGGTTGGCTCCACTGGCCGGGCCGATCGGAAGCTGACCAAGACTGTAGCAGCAGCCGCTGTGCTGCCCTCCTCATCGATCTTGATTTTGGCCATGTGCTTGGCGTCGCCGAACGACAACTGCTGCTCGGTGCTGAAGTCGTTGAAACTGGCGGTAGAGCCGAAGATCTGCTTGACGCCCAGTTGACCCAGGATCTGAGAAGAGTTAATAGCTTTAGATAGTTACAGGAGATAAGGCATTGGGTCTCTCCGCTTACCGGCAAGAGCTCCAGACGCTGCTCGAACTCAAATTTGGGCAGCGAGACTTCGATTTCGCGCATCGAAGCTTCCTTAAGCGACGCGTCTAACGTGTCGGCATTCAGCTTGGACAGCACTTGCTCCAGCGCATCATTGTTGAAGGCAGGCAATATGATGACCATAGATATATCGGAATTCTCATCGTCCTCCTTCATCGATGTCTTGTACGGCAGCTGCAGAACGTGGGCGCCCAGGCGCTCATCCGGATGCAGCAGGAAGTTGCCCTTCTGCTTCATCATGGGCACAAACGAATACTTCTCGCTGGACGTATAGAAGGGCATTTGCTGGGTCTTGTCCGCATTGAAGCGGCTGGACCACTGGCCCTTGAAATAGGCAGCATTGGCCAGCACCAGTTGAGTTTGGGAATCGATATCGCCAGAGGCAATCATGTCCTTGATCTGATCGTGTGTGACATTAGCGATCCATGAGTTGATCTGCTGACGCGTCTCCTCCACATTATCCTTGATGTTCAGCTGGACAATTTCATCGTGCAAACGCGAATCCAGGCAATCGGCCAGCTTGATGCGTTCGTCAAAGTAGAGGCGATCAGCGGAAGCGAACTCCAGTGGCATCTCCTTGGTGCGCACCTCACGCAACTTCTTCTCAGTGCGATAGGCACTGCGCACCGCCTCCTTGTTGGGCGCCCAGTTCAGGCGCAGCACATTGGCCAGCTCCGTCTCAGACTCGCCGGTGGCACCGAAATACGCCAATAACAGGGCGTGGTAGGTGCTGTAGGGTGAGAAGAACACATTCTCGTTGGGCGTCGCCTTCCGTATGGCATCCAGCATGGCCACCGAGAACTCCTGCTGGCCCCGATACAAATCGGAGCGCAGGGACGACATGCTGGCATCGGTTGGTGTGCCACACAATTCGGCGTTAAGCCACGCCGGCACCACCAGCATCATCAGCGATAAAAACACCTTCATTCTCTGTCGATATACAATTTGAGAGAGTTTGGGATTAGCAACCTTCGCCTTGTCAAATACTACGTGAGTGGAATTCAATACCATGGCCTTGCCGGACATTATTTGTTGGCATTATTAATATATTGGAATGTCTATAATGCCGTGAAGGAGGTACATCGACACTATAAACATTATTTTTATACCCTGAACCCATTGAAAATGGGAAATCAGGGTATAATGGTTTTGTGAAAAAGTATGTAACGGGCAGAAGGAGGCGTGGCAGACCCCACAAAGTATATATATTCTTGATCAGCGTGACGAGCTGAGTCGATATAGCCCTGTCCGTCTGTCCGTCCGTCCGTCCGTCCGTCCGTCCGTCCGTCCGTCCGTCCGTCCGTCCGTATGAGTGCGTCGATCTCAGAAGTTATAAGAGCTAGAGAGCTGAAATTTGGCATGCATACTCGTGTGTACCATACGCAGTACGAGTTTGCTTTATTTTTTCGATAAATCGTCCGATAACTTTTTTATCGAGAATAATCGAAAAATTGATTTTGTTTTTTTAGCCTAATTTGAACATTTTTAGACCTGGAGTCTTCAAATTTGTGTTGTATATAAAGTTAATCGATACAAAGATNCATTAAGATCATATGTTTACAAAAGAAATTATTCGACAAATAAATTCTCATAATATTGCCCACACTGCAGCGCAGCCCAAGCGCAGTCGCTGCTTACTGCGCAGTTAGCAGAGCGCGTGCTTATAAGTGCATGTGTATGTATGTGTGCATAAAARAAGTSCAGAMTGATTAGAATATMWGCTTRGAGGGTTCAGGGTATCTCCTAGTCGAGCAGTCTCGACTAGAGTCTTCTTACTTGTTTAAATATATAATTTGTTTGTTTTATTACCTATAGACTTTTTGCTTTTTTTTTAAAGCTTTTTTCAGTATTAGTTTCTCAATAATTTATATTAATGTACTTTCAAAGCAAGCCAATTGATATGGATTTCAATTAAATTCAAGAAATGACAGTATATCATTTTTATTTACTGAAATGAAATGTAATATCAACTTTATGCCTAGATCATGACAAAAATGTATGTATATTCAATTATAATTTAGCTTTCAATGCATGTATTCTTTTTATGTTTAGTTTATTTCAAGCTTGAAAAATAAGTTAATGAATCTTTTTATTCTGACTTTTCAATACGGTTTTAATTTCAATCAAACAAAACTAATCTTAATCCGCATATAATTGCTATTTGCACCTAACGTGATGACATATGCAGTTACTACTTTGCATTTTGGGTTTTTTTCTGTCATTGTCATTTTTGTTCCTTTCCAAGGTTAAGCCTACAAATGAAATCGTTTCCCTTGTTAATTTCATGGCACTGCTGCAATTTAATGGCATTTCGAATGTTTACAAAGCAGATCAAATGGCTGGCAAGTCAGTGACAGCTGGCATGATCATGGGAAAAACGTGCCTCAATAATGCCGTTTAGCATTCGTCACGTACAGAGATCGTTTGGCTATAAAGGCGCCTTAATTTATGCAAACAGCTAAATGCCGGCAAATTCATGCCTCGTAAGACTTCAGGTTATTAAAAAAACCCTACAAGCTAGCTGATTCATCCACTGAGATGCTCCCCACAGCAGCGACAGCTAATTTATCTCAATCGCACTTTCAGCCAATTGCAACATCTCGCTCTCAAGCTGACGGCCGGAAAGTGAAAGTTGGTCTGCAAGCGAATTCGCAACAACTGTTGTTGTTATTGTTGTTGCTGTTATTGCACTCGGCAGAGCATAAAAAAGAGAACGACTTTGTCTTTTTGCCGTGCTTTCGCAGCTGACTGCGCGACGTCATAGTTGCGTGATTTGCCGACGCAATGAAAAAACAAAAAAAGGAGAAAAAACCCAAATAAAAACAGAAAATTAACATTTTCAAAAACCAGTTTAAGTCCACACAGTTGTGTGCACTTTTAAAAATATGTATATGTATACGTGATTCATAAATTGTTAACATTTCAACGCTTACGCGCTCTTCTTTGACCCTGTATTGGCGATTTTGTAATTGGTTTTGTTTTTTCTCTCTCTCTCTCTCCCTCACCGTTGCTCTGTTTGGCTTCTGCGCGCAGTTTGCCAACACAGGCGTAGCCTCCACTTACGCCTGCGCTGCCCACACACTGGCGAAAAAAACAACAACAATAACAACTAGTTTGCAGGGAATTTCCAATTGGAGTTGACGCAAAGTATTGAACATGACAATGCATAATGTTTACCTGACAATTGTTGTCAATGGAGAAGCAGTAACAAATATAATTTACATTAAGTAATTTTCTCAAGAAATAACTGTAAACTATTGAGAACAGATTATACAATAACTTGGAATTTTCATTGATAAGGTTATTCTAATTGAATATTCATTTTTAATTTCATTATCTTGAGCCCCGAGGGTAAAACCAAACCCTGACGTGTGTACATATGTATGTATATTATTCATATATGTATGTATAAATATTTACTAGCAGAGCAGCAACGTTCATTCGGCTATTATAATACAAGAAAAGAAAAATGTAGTTCAACTTCACATTAATTTCTCTATAACAATGGCGAATTGTGTTTGCGTGTGACAATAGCAACAACAAAATAATACAAATAATTTCGAAATCACTTATTTGGTGGAGCGAACCAGATTGATGGACTGCACATAATTCTCCAGAGATTGTACAATTATTAATACTAATTATGAAAAATGTTCAATATTCATATGTAAAGAGACTCTCGATTTAAAAAAAACCGGTCGCATATGAGATAAAAATAACGTACGATTGACTTTTACCTTTTTTTTCTTTTTTTGGTTGATAAGCTTTGTTTAATTTATGCGCACTCACAAAACACACGACTTACTTAAACGCCTTAAACATTTGCACTGAGCTTGTTGATGAGCGCGGCTCAAATTATATTCCGATATGACGAGCCATATGATAGTCATATTCGATAAAATTAATCGATACACAAGTGGTAGACTTGGTAAATATTCGTTTGAGCCATATATTTTTGGTTAACTCGGTAGCTAAAGCAGGGTTACTTAATTTGAGACTTATATTTTATTCACATAATATTTGCCGATAGAGCACTAGCATTTTATTAAATGGGAACTATCGCCATTTCATAGAGGTGAGCAAAGAAGACTGAGCACAATCGATACGAAATATTTCGATTTTAGTATTTTTTTTTTTGGCGCATTATTTAAACTTTTGGGCTTTCATATAATCATTTTAGGTAATATTGAGCTTACACTTTTGTTTTAAGTAAAACTTAGAGATACTAAAATAAAACAGTTTCTATGATATAAGTTTGGCAACTATTTTATATTCTATATTTATTATGAGAATGAATCACACTTTGACATGGTCTTATGAGTATAATTAGAAATGTTAGACTAGTCAGAATACGTATGCGTAAGGGCCTAATGAAATAGATAATATCTTATATTAAATAGTTAATAACACAAGAAATCTGCACTATATCCCATATAATGGCATTGGAGATGACTATGAGGGCGACCAGTTATGGATCTTTGATGGGTAAAACAGGTGTTGATCACCTTGACTTTGTACTCTATATACGTATGCATGTATGTATATTCCTCTGTGCAGCCCGTCCAAGCAAATTGATCCTTATGCAAATTGACAACTTGGCAACTTGACCGATATCGAATTGACCAAGGCTAACAAGAAGACTACCTTGAAGCCATATACAGACATGAAGACATATACAAGCTAAGGACGTTCAAAAAGTTTGATTTGCTAATCGAAAGTGATTATTTTTTATAAAATTTTAATTTTTCTCCCCCTCAAAATAATCCTAAGTAACATTGTACACTTTTGCCGTTTCTTCCAGTCCTTGAAACAGTTCAAGTCTGATCTGTTTCGATTCTTTGCCTCGTCTATATAGGAATCTACATATTGCATCGGTATCGCTGCTGCTCCGCAGTTTCCTTTAGACATGTTCTACCGTTCGGTAAATAAATTTTCGCAACTTCAAAGAATCAGTAATTTTATATGCAAGTGAATGTTTTTTATTCAATATGTCAATAATATAATAACAGTATAATTATGTAAGTACTGTGACATTACGTTCGCTATAAATGCTGTTGAGCGATGCCCGTATGAATGCATCGCTTTTCTCCACAAATCCATCCAAATGAGTCCACAAGAACCAAAATGTAAGCGAGAAGAGTAAAATCTTGCTGACCCAGTCGAGTATGTAAAGGCGACGCAGAACTATTTTGGCGTAGGGCAACGTGGCGTCACTCTCGCCCAGAATGAAGGTGCGCATGCCCCGTATATAGTTGCTGATGTAAGTCTCCCAGTTGACCTGGCTAACTGACGTGTCGAACAGCTCCTGGTCCGTGGCATTTAGCGTGTGGCTCATCTCTTGAAATTTATCATTCCTAAAATCCCAGTCTTTTGTTGTGTAGTACTGCAGCAGCTTCAGTCCAGTGGAGATTTTACGCTGAACGTTGACCAAGCTGGAACGAGAGGATGTTCACGTTAGTTGAATGTGCAGAGCGAAAGAAGCAGACGTCACTTACAAGGGCTTCTGGCCGAAGAGCAGCAGCCAAAAGTCTATGAAGTAGGCAGGCAGATAGTGAAAGAAGATGACGCAAAATAGATGATGGTAATAGTTTCGCTTGATGGAACCGCCCGGATACCAGAGCGCAAAGCTGAGCGGAGTTTCGTAGAAAAACTTGCGGCCGGTCTCAATGCTCTCGCCCCAGGACATCAGTGCCTTGCTGGAGATGCACAGATTGCAGAACTCCACTTGGTTCTGTTCGCTGTTGGCCTTCGACTCGGCGGTCGCCTGGCCGCGCTTAAAGCCGCAGAGAATCATGCCGTTGATGGCCTTGTCGACGGGAATTACCGTCGATGCGAAATCTGGATTGCAGTGCATAGAACGAATGACGCCGCGTGCGGCGCCAATCATCAGACCGGTTGGCCCATTCACGCCCTCAATCCATCCTGGCATGGGCTCGTGTATGGCCGCCGTGACTGCAAGAAAAGGGAGTGTTAGCCATAGCCGATAAGTGGGCCCGAAACCAGTTTGCGGGACCTACATACCAATGGAAGGCCGTGTGATGATTACAGGTAGCTTTTTGTTATATCTGCAAATTAGATCTTCCGACAGTGCCTTGCTGTAAGCATACGTGTTGGGCAATCCGTTGAGCAATCTGCAAATGGAAACGTGAGTCGACTCAAAGCATGCTGAGCGATGAATCATGTATATACTTGGGAGTTATTTCCGCTAGGCCCGCATCGTCCATTGTCTCGACCATGCGGATGACGTCGAATGGATTCTGTGGCGCCGGATAGGCACGCTCCTCCAGCACGCTCTCGTTGCACTGGCAATACGACGTGGAGACATGGACCAGTGCTTGCAGGTTGGCCATCTTTTCGGCCAGCTGGAGCACCTTCAGCACGCCCAGCACATTCATGTTGACCATCGGGCGCAGCGGCTGATCGAAGCGCACATTGGCCGCACAGTGGAACACAATCTCCACATTGGAGGCAAGTGTGTTGATGTCATTGGTGTCCAGGCCAAGGTCCGGCTCCAGCACATCGCCCTTTACCACGCGCACTTTATTAACGATGTCGGGATTCTTCTCCAACAGCTTGCTGAAAATCTGCAAAAATTTTAACAGTTAAAGAGTTAAACAGTTAAACAACGGTGGGTCATTAATTAAAAGACACAATTACTTCAAATGCGCTAAGCTACTGTATGTATGTATGCAGTTGTTGTTGCTGCTGTTGTTGTTGTGTGTAACTGAAGTTGGCTAAGAGCTGGTGGGTTACGTGGAGCAGCTGCTTAGATTCGCCTAATGGACCAAGTCTTGTGCGCGCAGTGACAGAAATGAATAGTCATTGTAATTTTGGATTTTTTCGACACCGATATTGACTACCTTGACTTATAAATGTCTAGGTAAGTGTGTGTGTGTGTGTGTGTTAGTCTTGGCTTACAATTTAATGTCTTGCACTCGCTTGCCTATTTGTCTTTTGCTATAATTCTGGTAATTTGAAATTTAAGTATTACCATTTCTTCAAATGAAGGGCAACTTGTGATTGCCCAACTATCGCAATAGAACTACAAATTTGTGAACTGACCTTGACTTTATGTCTTAAAAGCTCAGGCCTGCTTTAAGCCATAAGTTTGGGCCATGCTAGTTAGACATATTTTCAACCAAGTCTTGCATTCTTCTGGCGTTTAGTCTGTCGTCATGGTTCTTAGGAATAACCCCACGTTAAGTACCTCGATTACAGCTAATTAAATGTGCTAATTATAATTACGTGTTAGGGCAGCTATTGTATTATAGCGGAAAACGATTACATAAGAGTTAAAATCACTCATTCGTGATATATCAGGCACACATGGAAGTAATGCGAAGCCACTAAACCACAAAAAGGTTAAAACACTTTATTGACTTTAGATGTTTTTCTAAAATAGAATATCTAATTTTATAGAATAATTATTATTAATTAATACATCAAAT